GTCTTATACAGCAAGAACCAGAACACTATCAGGACTTTCTCTAATGCGTTGTGCAGTAGTAGTAGTAGTAGTAGGTCAGCAATTATGAGCTAGTGTTTACAAAAGTGGTTTTCAGGAGTTAATATGTGCATTATACGATGCAGGGACTCGCTGTGTCTGTCAGAACAAGTGATAAAAGACTGTAGAATTAATGCTTCTCGCAAATTAGGAATTAACAACCAGAACAAATTCACTACAAGAACTCTCAGTGTGTCTATTAACGTGGTCTCATCTTCACTGTCAATCAACCAATTGTGGAGAATTAGCCTGTGTACCTTATAATGAATTGTTTCACTTCATTATTCACGATATTTGAATTGTTGAAAACATCAGATGCAGGTGACAATCCAGACGTATACGGGGGGGGGGGCTTTCTCATTCATGTCCAGGTTATTAGAAAATGTATGAGAAAACAGTTGCAGTCAAAGCTCCTATGTTTATACCTTAAAAGATATTACTGTATGAAAAAGATTGCTACTACACTCATAGGGTGGTGCTTCAAAGACAACTGACTTTTGTCACCAACACAGTTGTTCATTTCGTCATAATAATTGCAAGGCTTTGAGTTTTGAGGCTGCACTTTAGTTACGGCTGAAAACTGGCAAGAGTTTTTGGTATGTGTTCAGCATAGCAGACTTCAAAAGCACCGTTGTAAGACAGAAGCAGTAATATTTGCTGATGGGCTTCTTTGCCCTCAATAACTTGAGCAACATGAGCTGTGAATTTTTCAAAGCAAAAATTAAACAAAATATTTAGTAACATGCCATCTTGCATGCAAAACATTAATTACTCAGGGGAAATTTCTTTGGTGTTGTCAGTATGACAGACCTGTAATTTTGTGCTTCACTGTCCAGAGAAAATTGATCATATTGTGAAAATCCAGAGTTTCCTTCCCAGTCACTCAGCTGGATCCTTAGTTTGTAGGACTGTTGATTGGTCATCTTAGAGACAAATTCATTTCCTAACCAGAATTCAGCTGATGGTTCTCCAAACCCCTGAAAAGACAAAAAAGCAATGTTATTAAACCACGATAAACCCCTGCAGTAGAGCCGTGTAAGATGTCTTTTTCCAATAACGAAATGGCAAACAGACAGACAATCATTATGTGCTCTTCATTTCTTGGCTATTACATTGAGAGCTATTTTTCCCTGGAACTGAAATGTTTCATCAGAATACTCAAAACACGTTCAGCAATTTAACAAATCAATCACAAATAGGAAAGTATGCTAGTTTGAACTGCAAAGGAAATTGCATGAATGCTTTTCTCTGTAATGATTGCTCTGTGGGGACTTGAGATTGGACTTCATTTTGGCATGCTGTTGGACCATTTATCTCCTACTTGGCGTGGGCAATGCTGGTCACTATTTTTAGTAGTAGATTATAAGCACAGTTTCAGATGCACGGACAGCAATATTGAATATGCTGTGATTGAATGTGCTACTTGATGGCAAATGGCAAATAGCTAAAATTATTGTGGTTTCAATTTTTAGCTTTAGTTTGATGAATAGCAGATGGTGATCACTTAGGACCTCTGCATTAGTGACTGTAGTCTGTCCTTTCTTCTCCGGATTGCATCTAGGAATTCCTTCTGTGCAGAATCACTAGGCCATGAAAAAACGTTCCTTTCGATGGCCAGAACCAAATCTGGGCGCTGGTCTTGTGCATTTGGAATGAAAACCGTAGCCTAGGATATATATTTTTTAAGGGAAGAATTTCTTCTTGATAGTTTTACCTTTTTGTACTCTTGCCACGTACGGTGAAAGTCAACATGGCCGTCAAAGCGTTTTTGTAGGACTGTCCAGCCACCTCCTTCTGTCTCCATGTCACAGAAAGCCTTCAAACAAAAGGAAAAGGGAGTCGCTGTAATTAATAATTCAAAATTAATGCTCGGTGAAGAGTTCATGTTCATTTATATTTGACAATGCCGTCTTATTGGAGTTAGGTCAAAACAACTTTTAAATTGCAGGGAAGGGATACAGAATTGAAGTCCAAGCCTTAATCACTGAAAAGTATCTAAGGAGATCACAGTTTTAGCTCAAGCATGCACATCATTAATGGAAGTCTTAGAACATTTTAATTTAACTACCCCGCCCTCAAACACAATACTGTTCACTGAAGTCTTCATTCAGTGGTGTGTGCAGTGTTTAAGTTGCAAGATTGCATAAGTGCAGATTGGTCAGTGAATGTATATGTGCACAGTCATGGCATTTAATCCGTGCAAGTGAGTGCTGATTGTTTTTTTTTTCATTATCCAGCAAAATAAGTCATCTTCTTCACCACCAGGCAATTGAACTTACTATGTTTTGTTTTTTTTATTCCAGCTTTAGGTGATCTTAGGTGAAGCCAGTCTGAAACAATTAAACAGGTTTACTTTACCTTAACCTCTGTTGTAGTGTTGGGTAATGTGAGCGTGTAGACTCCACTTAGGGTGTCTCCTGACTTGTAGACAGCAGCGCAGTCCATGAAAGTGGTAGGATTGTCCTGCATCATGACAGTTTTGGTCTCTGCTGAGAAAAATTACCCTTGTTAATTTGACAGCACACAGTTGTGCAGCATGTAAGTGTCCTCTTTTTTGAGAAGTTCACACATTCTAATAATAAATAAATATATAATATTCATTTCTTTAGTGTCAGTGTGACTGCTGCAGCAAGGTGGGTCCTTTCTGTTCTCAAGTATGCCAGCACCACTTTATGGCCTTGAAAGCCCTGCATGCAGTGGCCAAACTCTGAAGATCTATATCATTCGATTGTTTACTGGAAAGACTGGAAACAGATAAACAGCTAGCAGCCTGGCTCTGTCCAAAGGTAATCTAATCCAATACCAGCAATGGATTATTTCTTGGCTCTGAGCAGTTGGCAGGCAATCAGCCCGGAGACTCCAGGAAGTTACAGCTCCAAGCCAAAAAATAGTCCATCACATACCGTTGGGCAAGCTGGCTGTGTCCGATCCAAAGCTAAGGTAACAAGCGGCTGGATATAGCTTCATATTTAACAGACAAATATAAAATTGGTATCAGTCTTCTTATCTAACACTTCACCAGAAAGTGAATAATCATATTTCTAAAAATGTCTAACTATTCCTTTAAGTTGTGCCCACCCCCTCAGTGGTTCCTATAGTGGATTAGTGGTACTAATATAACACTAAAAAAGAAATGTGTATTTAGTCTGCCTTTGATTAAGCTACAGATAAAGAGGTTATGATGACTCACTGCGAGCTGAGCCGGCAGAGATGGTGTGAATGAGGCTGTTCACAGTGTCCAGCAGCTGCTGCTGTTGATGCTGTAGGACAGTGTTGTTGGAGGAGACTTTGAGCAGCTCCTGCTCCAGCTCGCCTATGATGGCGGTCTGCCTCAGTATTAGAGTCTGGAGCTGCTCCTTTTCGTCTTGAAGCATCTTCAGCTCCACCTGCCTCTGCTCCTCCATCTCCCCCACCTTTTTCTCCAGGAAGCTGAGGAGAAACAGACAACAAGTTTAGCAGAGTTTGTCTTTGCTTTGCTCACGGCTCCAATACTGAACTGTCAGTGACCCTGAAATTTTTTTTGCCATGTGATTTGACGTCCTCACCTGTTTTTGTCGTTCAACTTGTTGATTTCATTTGTTTGGACGATTAGTTGTTTTTCCAACTTGTTGGTTGACAAGGAATTCTCAAGAAGCTGCCGCTCAAGTCGAGTTGTATGATGAATTACCTACAAATAAAAGAACGCTCAGTTCAGCTCTAGCACAGAGATACCTTATTATTGTAGCTGCAGATTTTTACATGCCCACATTATGATGTCAACTCTCAAGTCAAATGTTTCACATTAGCTTCAAGAGGGGCTCAAGGTCCTTCACTAATGCCAGTGTGGTCCCAAGTTTAACTCATATCTGCAAACAGAATGTATTCTAATGAGACACGAGACACTGGACATTTATAAAAAAGAAAGTGAAGAACCATATAAATACACAGGAACATATAGCAAAAGAGCAATAAACATGTGTAACAATCCTAAATGACATAACAAACCTAAGATGTTTGCCTGGTCAAAAGGCAATTTGTTGTTTTTTTATTGCATTAGTGGATCAAGCACAACACACGCCCCGTTTGCGCTTCTAGACTGAACAAATAGCCATTTGCAAAATGGAAAAGCATGACAGGAAAGAACAACTAAAGTCCCGTAGAGCAGACATACCTGAACAAGGGGAAACTTTCAGAATCCACGTATTTTCACAGACAGATGTATTGAACTAAACTCTGGGGTTGGGGACCTTGCCTCTAATTTCCCATTTTGGAGGAACTGAACTCAGCAAAAAGCAGGTTGTTTACATGGATCCTAGCTATGTGTCTCCAATGGAGCTGTTGATGTCTTTGAACAGACGGATGTCTGATTGTGACAAACTGATAGACCGTTTCTGTGGGAATATGAGTGTGCTAATAACAGGAAATGCTGTACAGTTGGCTCACATAAGGTCATTGACGTGTAGCCACAATAATAAACTGACGCAGTCATGCCTGTTTTTCCCTCTGCTTATTTTTTTCACACTCTGAAGCTGCATTATTTAATGCAATGTCTGTTAGAGCACGCTGCTGAACAACTGCATTACGTTGTTGCTTGTATGTAGACAGGTGCAAACTGTGTTTGACAGTTTTGACTTTCTTAGCGTTCTTTTCTGCATGTTAGGAAAAAACTGAAAGCACAGCCTCACCTGTGCCTCCACATTGGTCAGTTTCCTTGTTTGCTCAGCAGTTTGACTCAGCAGGTTTGTTCCAATTTCAATCATCGTAGCTGTGTGGTTGTGTACAGCAGTCTGTTGGATTTGGACCATGTCCTGCTTCATGCTGTCCTGTATGTAGTTCTCTAGCTGCAGAAGAAAGACAACTGGATTTAGACAGTTTTTAACATCTCGTGACTCATGCCATTAACCGGTGGTTACAATTGTGCAGTGCTGCATTACATTCATACGGTAGTTCACAGATTGACACCCAGGTGCTGCTCACTATAATCTGCTACTGTAAAGTTGCACACAGAGCAGCTCTGTTTCTTTGCTTGAGTTCTTCAGCAACCTCATTCGTAGTTGATGAGAGAGAAATCATCTCTTCTTGTTGGTTCAGGGACTAATATTCATTTTGTGGTCATTGTACACTGAGGTAGGTCGAGGCAAGTAATGCCATTGTCACAGAGAGTCATTCAAGTGTGGACTGTTGCCCACCTTTATAACATACACACTGTGCATTATTATTGGATGAGAAGCCATGTGTCTTACAGGAAAATAATGTGTTTTTAAGAAATAATAAAGTTCACACATTGAAACTCAAAACCTCTCTTGAAAGCTCATAGCTTTCCACAGTTGCAACCACAGTTGTTCAATTATTGAAGGAGAGCCGTGGGCTCAATTGTCCCATGATAGGTATTTTAAATTTTTAAATCATACATTGTTTAATATTTAAAGGCCTCCTTTAGTTGACACAGTAATGTCATTTACGTGTGATAAAGGAAAAATGTGTAAATATTTTCCTGGTAAAGTAATGAAATATTAAATGAATAAACCGTCTGAAGATGATATAAAACATTTAGAATTCTGAGTTTAACCATCAAATATTAAACCTCTTAATCATAGTAATAATACAATGGCTGAGGAAGGGGGGGGTTGGTGGGTTGGTCAGTGTTTCATCTTTACGAGATTTGTTGTTATCTACCTTACAGTATTGCCAGATTTAGACCGAGACCAGTCATTAAGTTATTTCCTGCATGGTGTTCCTGAGTGGCAATCAGGTCACACGACTCGTAAACAGGATGGAAGTGTTGAGTGAGGAGTTACATCCTTCATGACAGTATGACTTGTGTACAACTGGAAACCAGTGTCATCTACAGTAAATTTGTTATTTACTCATCATACAGTAATGCATCCCCAAACAGCCAATTTTATCATTATTTTCCATGCATTAAATACAACTAACAGCAGCAATTAGTGCTGATTTTGTTTGTCTTCCTCTCTTGGTGTCCAGTCTGTTTATGTTATTGAATACGGACAGAAATGTGTGGTAGGTGGAAGGTTTTCATTTGACTTTTTGCCAGGATATCCCATTGACAGTCAATGATCTAATCAGTTGTTTACTCTGTATGCCTCAAAGGCGTCAGTGAGGAATGACTGTGTTCCTCATTCACACGAGAGCATGACAACAATGTGTTTTCCTAAGTCGTCTTCAGCCTGTGCAGCATAAATACCAATTCCAGAAACTAAGTGACTATATTGCGATGGTTTTAAATAAGTAAAACACAACACTGACGGCATTCTCTACTGTATATTTTTTTTAATAATTAATTTAATTTTTTTTTTTTTTTTTTTTCCTAAAGAGAATTGTGGGTTTCTTATTTCATCTGTGATAACAAAGGTTATGGAGACCCTCACTGATTGGATAGTCTTTTTCACACAATTTTTCTGGGTTGCTAAGATATTAATGACCATGGCACACTAGAGACCTTTACAGTGTCTGATGATTCCCTCTTGGTAATGCGGATCCACAGTAAGGTACAATATTTATCAGTGAGAATCTGTATTATACTTTGGTACTGTTAGACTTCATGAGTATTGTTTGTGTTCTTACAAATCAGTTCTGCTCTTCATGGCAAAATATCAAGTTTATTTTAGGAAGGAACATTTACATTTTGAGAGTTAACATTAACTATCAGTCTTCACACCTTAGCTGGGGGTTTTTCTCCCAAATGTATCGATTCAAGTGCAAATTAATTTGGTGAAATCAGAAGAAGGTATTGGAGTCCTCCTGGATTTACACAAAGTGATGTGAAACAGATGAAGCATGCTGATACAAGTACAGGTAAATCTTGGCGGTGACACATTATTAATCGGCAATGCCTCTTTCTATATAAGAAACATGTAACTTGTCACTATATCAGATGTGCTGTTGGGCTTTGTAAAATGTTCACTTGTGTTGTGGACGGCCTTTGATTTGTGACGCAGCCGGTCAGTTTTTTTCTATGTCTATGTGAGCGTAGTTACCGAGTAGCAGCGTCTACATCATGAAGAACATCAAAGACGAGTGCCCTCTGAGCCCTCCTGTGGAACAGGTCAGAGCTTGTTTTATGTTACGAGACGGGGGTTGTGTGGTCAGGCTGTGAGATGTTCTTGTCTTGTCTGGCTCATCTTGTATAGTACTGATCGTTAATCACACTCTGAAGTGGGTGAAGAGAGGGAGCCAGAAAAGAAGCAGTTCACTTCTTTCTATCGCCCAAGTAAAGGCTCAGCAGGCTGAAAGGAAACCATGCATCCCTCGTGTGGACACCTGTGCTGAGTTTTTGTTCGTCGTCAGAGCCGTTATGTCCTTTTGTACTGAATAAAAGTGCATCACAGATACTCAGCACATTTTCTTGTGTGTTCGTTTACAGCTTTGTTTACTCCAAACAAGTTCCCACACAATCTGTCTGTCTTTTTCTTTTTCAAATACAAACTCAGGACATAGAGTAAATATACATTTGGATAAAATTGTTCTTGTTCATGTTTTTGTTTCAGTGGAGCAGTTTTATCACTTTTATTTTGTTATATTGGTCAAATGTTATTCATGTCAGCATGGCAATTAACAAAGAGCTTGTGGTTTAGTATGAGCCCAAATAATCTGACCATCACATGAGTACGGCTGTCCTTGAAATTCAGGATGTTAAAATTTGCCCGTTCCACCTGCAGAAGTCAATTAGATACTTCCACAAGGGGGGAAATCTGGCAAAGTCTACATACAGCCACATGTTTGGTTTTCTTTAAAACTCCTTCGCTCTTTGTCGTAGAGAATATGAGTGGAAGTGCGAATCCTTCCTCTGACACCTGTGCGGAGGCTCTCTCGGCTCCTCTGACACTCACATACTCGAACCGTTTGTTATTCATTTTTCCTTTAAGACCGTTAGTCTAAAGTCACTGTAATTAAGGCAGCCATTGGTCTCAGAGTTTCTCGAATTAATGTGATATCATGAATATGACTTAACTTTACCTTAAGCAGCCACTGTGTGTTGTTCTCCATGCTGATCTCCAGTTGTTCCAGCCTTTGAGCCGACTCGTCGTTGTCCATGGGTCCATCCTTTTGAACTGGATAGTTGTAGCTGTCGCTCTGGCTTTGGCAGTTTTCTTGCTCAGGCAGCAGAAAGGTGTAGCTACATGGCCCGTTTTGGATCTGATATTGTTTCTTACCAACAGCACTGTATCCTGTCCCCAGACCAAGGCAGAAACTTAAAACTAACAAGTCCACATTCAGCATCTTCATAACAGAGTTATTTACCTAAAAATAAATTTAGCAAAACTTCAGGTTTTCTTTAAACTTCTCTCAATGAATGTGCGTCTTTCCCTAACAACATCCAAGTGTAAACAATCCTCTTGAGGTTCCTTTTATTACCTCTCAGTGGTAGGAGGAGAAAAAGCCCATCAGGAATTAGAGGTAGTGTTTCTTTCCCGTAGGTTACCGGTGCCAGACTGCATGTGCTCGCCTTTCATCAAGCCCCCAGCCACTTGTTTGAGCTGCCCATGGCCCCTCTGATTAGCTAGTGATTTTTAACCACTCCCCCCCTCACTGTGGCCAGTCACTGTGAAGAGCAGTGAAGTGGAGATTCTTTTCACTACACACTCGGTGAACGACACAGAGGAGCAGATGCACAAACTACACACCTTTCACGATATCCTCTACAAAACCCACATGTTTTTTTTTCTGCTGTAGTTGAACAGCCACTCAGGATGCAGCTGTCCACCTTCAGGACACTGATAGTAGCCGTGTCCATCCCATTCATTGAAGAATGTTTCCCGGCCTACGACAAACACTCTAGCATCTTTGAACAGGAGATTCAAAGGAAGAAGTCTGTGTTTAAATGACATTATTGACTCTTTCCATGTATTTTGCTACTTTGCTCTTTTAAGATGTTAAATCTATATTAAAATGTACTGAAATCTTTTTTAAAAAAACAAAACAAATTAGGTTTATTTCACAAGTGTATAATTTTATAAAATGATCCAAAATTCCCAGATCTTCCCTTGGGTCTCAGGGTCCATAAAGTTTCATATTAACTGTTACTGGTACAAACTAAACTTGCCACTTGATCTCTGACCACAAAATCGTCATGGCTTTTATTATTTGCTCTGGTTCTGGGCAGATTTAGGCAATTTCAGATTAAGTGTACTTGGCTGATCTCTGAGTCAAAAGTATAGTGAAGCAATGTTTGGCGTTAATCTTTCAAACTGGAAAAATTATGTGAATGTTGTTTGTTTCTTTGTTTTTTCTTAAAATTAAAAATTGCAGATATTTTTTGAAACACTAGCTCAAAATAGCAAAAAGTGATCCCGAACAGACAAACATACATTTAACTTACGTGTGCATCTATGCAAATGTAAAAATGATCAATTTATTGAAAGGCAGCTATTTCATTTTTTGCCATGTTCCGATGTTGTAAAGAGACTGGAGTATTTTCAAGCATCCTCTGTCAACAACTTGCCTGGAAAGCTTGAGTTAATAACTTGCTTTTTATGGCTTAAAGGAAATTATTTTTCAGTAGAAAATGGTTTTGAAAATGAATCACTCCTGGGTTATAGAAGATTCGGCGGCTGGCTCCCTACAACATGTAATGATATAGTCATATCCAACCTTAAATACAGCATTATCTCAGCCTGGCAAAGTTTTTGCAGTCAGTTAAGTCTGTGTGGGGGCTCTCATGTCACTGTGGGGAACAGAGTGTAGGTGTGTTATATGCCAGAAGAGCATTGGCATAGGAGAACGTTTTGTCCTATACTGCAGGAATGTGCCTCCATCAGACACTCAGCTGTGGCCTCGGTAGCTTCACTCTTTACTCCTTAAAAACAGTACAATAAATAAATAAATAATTATAGACAGATTGAGCTTCATATTTTGTACGGAATAATAACTTTACTGTGGCATAACCACATTTTAGTATCAACTGCACCATGTTTAATTTTTTGACAGGAAAGCCTTAGATTTGCCCTCTGCAGTGGGATAGAAATACCGAAACAGAATTGTAGGAAGTAGGCTGATGTAATAGTTACTGTATACAGGAAATGCAACATATTTAAGGCACATTACCAAAGAGGAAGGACTTGTCGTCATTCCAAAAACACTGACTTTTTCAGGTGTTCATGCTGAATCACTCAAACAGTAGATTCATCTACACCAGTTCTTGTATTTCAGTTTGTTTCATGGTTATTGAAAGCACAGGGGACTCCCTGGGACCATTCATTCATTTAATTTTGTCACTGAGCCATGTCTTTACTTCATACCAGGCACTAGACATTGAAATTGTTTGCTCATGCTTCGAACAAACAATTTCACTTCGGCTGAACTGTAGCACACACTCTATTTCATTATACAGGGCTGTTAGGCTTCATTTTTTTCTTGCCTGGTAGTGGTTGTTTTAGAGCTGCACAAGCTTCCTGCCTCTCTGCAGACTTACTGTGCATAACAAGAAAAATGTTCATACACATATATGTCAGTGGGTGCAGAGATATTGATTAGGTTGTCAGTGTAAGGAGGTGGGATTTCACATGTGAAGAATAAATAAATTGTGACTGACACAATAAAATGCAGCTCATCTAAGCTGTAATGATTTCAAGAGTGTTTATCAGAGAAAGCTTGTTACCACTGGGATCTCTATGACCCGCCCTCTAGAGATTTTAAAAATTCAGTACTCTTGATACCATGAAATGCAACAAACCAGCAGGCTTCGGTTAGCAGCTAGGTTACAGATGAATATTTTTAGCGTCACATTTGACAGCAGTGAAGTGTAATTTCATTTATAGTGCCACTTTCATAAGCAGACAGAGATGTGGGTTGTGATAAATGTATTTTAAATGCAAGAATGGTCTAGATATGAAATTAAATTTATGCAAATCCAAACTGCTATTGAAGACACGACAGTTAATATACTCAAAGGGACATTTTGTCCACTGAATGGAGGACCTGTCTCCGTGTCTGAGTGGCCATTTACTCTTAAATTCGCAAATCTTGACACAAATGCTAATTATAGTCACAAATTGATCCAGCTACTTTTATAGTCTTCACCGTGCTGTTGTTAGAAGCAGTGTGAGTTTGTTTGTGTGATCAATAAACTGACCACACACAACAGACACAGACAACTTAATATATTTATTTAACTACTTGAAGCCAAGTTTCCAGAGGCCTGATATTGTATTCTTAGCAGTAAAATACTCATCAATTGCTGTATTTGTACTTTTTGTGTCAGCATTTTCCTTATCTCTCTCTTATTTTGCCCTTTCTTGTGGGACTGTTTTTAAAGTTCCTAGTTTTTAAACCCTCTTTTCTCACATAATAGACCTTCCATATAGTCGTCAATCATTCCTTTTAAAGTGCACAATGTGGGTTAACACTAAACTGACCCTGTCTCTGAACCCTCTGCCCAATCCCTGATTATTTACGTCAAGTGAAACCTGCATGAACACTGACAAAAGACTAAAAGTTTCCTGGCATTCAACTTAGAATAGGGGAGATTGGTCCCTTTCAGTTTAGCAACTGGCCCCTGCAGGTTACAGAGCAGGCCTGTACTGAGAGCATCACGCACCGAACCCAAAAAGAAACGGAACCTTTACATGAGATTCCCATGCTCAGAGCTGACGATACTCATTTAACAACATGGGCGTAAGATGGCATAGTAGCTCACCAGGCTACCATAGCATTGTGACTTAACAAAAACAGTGTTGAATAGTTTGTTCATGGTATTCTACTGTAAAAATGCTAATGATGAAAAAAGTTGTGTCACTTTCAAAAGTTGGTATTTAAATTGAATTTCATGGTACATTTAGTCTTTCAGTAGTGGCACTCCTGTTTTTCATTGCCTCACAGCCAAATTGTCTCAGCTCCTGCTGTATCACAAGCAGCCACCTTCAGGCCAGTTTCGGTATTGAATCAAGGTTTCAAATTTGTGGCTGTCTTGACTTGCAAATTAGGTTCCTTGGGGTAAAAGCCAGTGGATACTACATTTATTTATGTATATGATGTAAATGTGCCAGAGTTAGGCAAAAGACAATCCTTGGGCGGGTGTTAATGCAAGTTGATAGAGCTAATCCTCATCATGATTGCAAGCATTGTTTACTTGTTTATCAGAGAGGAAAGAAAACCTGTGACTCACATGAGATACTTCCATGAAATATGTGTGCCTACAAGACAGACACACAATGAATGCTGGGAACTGTGCTAATAACCTCACAATATTTCAGAACAAGGTTGATTTGACAAGTTTAGTGAACAATGAGCAGGATGTTCATTAAACCACGGACAGTGTTTGATTGACAGCTCCCTCACTCAGCTCTTAGCTTTGTTGCACTGCTGGTGGTGGGATTATTCAGACTGTTATCGCAGGCCTTTTTCACAGTTGACATTTTGACATGTCAGAGTAGGAAAAGTACGAGTGTAAAGAATTTAATTAAGGATGTCTGACCTCCATTTATAGCTGCTTCAGTTTCAGGGGCCTGTTATTGTGCATGCTGGCTCACTGTCACGGCTCACAGGGACACTGGAACACAGCAGAGCCATCGTTAATGTTTTTAGTAACAGCTGTGTTTTTACTAATATCTCAAGTCAAAATGTTTGCTGTGAGAAGTACCCAGCTTCAAGTCTAATTAACTAGAGTAATTAGAAACACCTGTGCGGGTGTACAGTAACATCTGAATGTTGTCACTGGAAATTTTATGTTTGTAACGTATTTATGTTTATGTAACGTATTACACACTCACTATACTCAGTTGATAAAAAAAGATGATTTAACTTAATTGATTATGATATTTTACAGGGAAATCGATGACCTAGTTATAACTTTCTGCCAGTATGAGTATTTCTGTTAAAGCTAGAAAACATTTGATGTGGCAGGTTCACTGTCCTTAGTTCACATTAAGATTTAAGATTAGATTCAAAGTAATAGTTTGACATTTTTGGAAGTGTTGGTTGAGAAAATTGATACCACTCTCATGTCTAGGCAAAATACTTCTTGGCAGTGACCACTAACGTCCCAGAGTCTCCTCTGGTGGTCTAACAGATCCCGGCCAAGTAATAGTCTGGCTCCCAACCCCCCGTAAAACATACTTTTTTCACTTCACTGGTTTTTGTACAAATTAAACATACAAGATATAACGTGTTAATTAGTAAGCTTTTAAGGTGGTGGTAGGCGGATTTTGTTATCTTTGGACAGAGCCAGGCTAGCTGTTTCCCCCAGTCTCCAGTCTTTGTACTAAGCTAAATTAGCTGGCTGCTGGCGATAGCTTCATATTTAGCGTACAGATGTGAGAGTGGTATCAATCTTCTCATCTAATTCTTAGCAAGAAAGCAAAATGCATATTTTCCAAAATGTCAAACTATTTTTGGAAAACGGGAATATAGGTTATCATGAGTTTATTTTGGAAAGAAGTTTTTCAGATGATCCTTTAAGAAATCCTTTTGAGCTGCTGGTTGTTCTTCTGGTGTTTTTCTTGAACAGTGAAGCTGAACAGGATCAGCTGCTGCATCCTGATTAAACCTCAATATTTTCAGTTGAATTTATTTATATAGGGTCAAATCATAACATACATTATCTAAAGGCACTTTACAGAGTAAGGTTGAGACCTTACAATATTATAGAGAGAAACCTAATAGTTCTCATGAGCAAGCACTTGGCGACAGCTCAGAGGAAAAACTCCCTTTTAACAGGAAGAAACCGCAGACACAACCGGACTCAGGGTGGGCGGCCGTCTGCCTCAAGCGGTTGGATTGAGAGGAGAGAAAAGGGGGAGAGGGAGGGAGAGGGGGAGAGAGAAGAGAGACCAGTAACAGCTGTACATACTATTGTACTTATTTATTTATTTATTTATTTGTTTGTTTGATATTATTTGTATTAAAACACTTTCAGACTGGTTGTTATAATGGTAATAATAATAGTGATACTTATGGTTGTAATAGTGTTATTAATAATAACAGCAGCAATGATAGCAATAATGATAATGAGTGTTGAGGAGCAGTGGCAGAGCCGGAAGAGCCAAAGAAACCTGCAGAATGAAGAAAGAGAGGAAAAATCTCTGGCAACAGTAGTACAGTATCTAACTCAGTTACTTTCTCCTCTCAGATCTGTCGTCTCCAGAGGCACCTGTCTGCCGGGGAACACCAGCAGGACCTGTTCGAAGGCCAGCCAGCCATGTTTGTGTCCCAGCACTCCCAGCCACCCACTCAGAGTCTGGTGGAGCTGATCCAGCTCTGTGGAGGAACAGTCTGCAGCACCGTGCGGCAGGCAGGTATCTGCATAGGAAGGTACAGCGGCAGGAGACCACAGGGAAGCAGGATCCTGTCTGAGCAGTGGGTGCTGGGTAAGATGTTTTCTGATAATCTCTGTTTTAAATGCTTTTATCACGTCACCGATAATTGTTTCTTTCATTTTTTATTTCAGATAGTATCACACATCTGAAGCGGCTGTCGTATGATAACTACGATTTGGAGTGAATGCTGTTGAATATTTGTTTTGGTTGTGAAGTTTAGTTTTGTAAATTTTATGCTGGACAGTGCCTCGTCACGTCCCACATACTCTCCATATCTGCCTTACAGTTTCCCTCCTTTGCAGATTTATTGTCTTGTTTTGCAAATGTTTTTGAGGCTTTACATAAATCCTCTCAAATATTTTATTTTTGAAGACTTTTAGTCTCTGGTTACCATGGAAACATGTGACTTAGACACGGACTTAACCATTCAGCAACAGTCCATGTTACTGTGGAACTACTTGAACATGATGTATGTCAGTCCTTTGTTAATTGCATTTTTTTTTCATGATGTAGCAACCACTACTGTGTACCAGTGTGTTTTCCTCAGCAAGTGACACATGAGATTGAGCCACATTTTTCATTCATAAATGTGATTTTAAAAATACTTTCTGAGCCAGTGTAATACTCTAATGGATATAGAGATAAAGGATACTGTATCCCTGATAGAAATGTTTTGTGATGTTATTGTTAATAAAACTTTTTAAAATTTTAGATTTTGATCATTGGTTTTCTTATATTCTGTAAAATGAACAGCTGTTTAAGAATACAGATCATTTCAACAATTAAATTGGAAAAAATTTTAATTTGATTGATCAGCAGTTAATAACAATACACACGCTTCAGTCGGATTCAAACTTTATATCCCTTTTTTTCGGTGTGATATAATTTTCAGTTTTGTAATTTAGTTGTGATGATGTTAATTGAACTGTGGGTGAGAATAACTTGATTTTGAAAAGGACAAAACACAATGCTGAGATAGATCAATCTGTCAAAAGTGTTGTCAGCAGTGTCACAGATGAACAGCCTGATGCTTCACAGCTTTTGCTATGACTTGTCCGTCATGTTTAAACAGCAGAAAGGGAACGTACCAACTTTATTCAATAATATACTATACTGTAAACTAGTTTTAGTTTACTCATATACACTGATGTTGGTATTTCTAAATTATTCAATTCATCCAAGACATGATATGATAGATTCATCAAAAGAAATATAATTACGACTATCAAACAGGTTATAACAGAACAATGGTTGCCCATGTAGTGATACTTTTAGCTGTAACATTTACCAGCCACGTTGTCTTTGCACACAACTTTCGGAGCCAGTTCATTATGCCCCTTAAAATAAATAATTATATCAGTATTTTATAATATGACTAATAGCATACTGGGCTACACCCTCTGTTAACTCCCCACCTTCAGTGCAAACATTACTAAACCATATCTAATTGTGTCAGATTGAATGACTTTACACAATTGAATTTATTTATGTGGTGTGACTTATTTGATGCTGTTGTGTTTTAGCATATTTTATGTGTGTCACTAGGCATCACCTACTGTGGGTACAGGCTATGTCATGTTGAACACCCTCTAAATAGACATTGCATTTTACATAATATTTCCATGTTTGAATATTAAATGTAATGGAGCTCCTAATGAGTAAAAATAATGGAGCTCCAAGAAACCATTGATTGCTTTGAAGGTAGGTAAAAACATTCAAATATGTAAGACACTAAAATCTGTTCCCTCTTATGTTCAAAAGTTAATTCTTGGGGAAATTATCTAATTTCAGGTCCACGTGCTAACTTTTTCCAGGCCTTTGAATTACATCTCATGTCTTCCTCAATGGAGGGATTTTGTTCAGTTGTCGTGTTCATGGTTCAAACATATTCATACTTCACTGAGCTTTTTCTATGACAAAGGAGCAAAGGGCATCTGCTGAGGAAGATTGTGAAATGCGGTTGAAAGCTCTGGAAAATGCTTTTGAGTTGACCCTTTTTTGTCGGTGTCTTCTGCTCTTTGAGATGAATGTTTTTGCATATGCTGCCAAATGAATATAAGAGAATAAAACATGCTAAAATAAATAAATAAATAAGTGAATGCGGTATGTACCTTTAACATTAGACCGCCCATTAGTCGGCCTCTACTACGTCACTTGACCAATAAGCTTCTTCGATGTTACAAGGTGTCGTTACGTAGGGAGGCGTGTGTGACATTTGCTGCAAGAGGCTAGTTCACGAACAGCTAACCGGATGAAGACGAAGAAATATGGAAGGAAATAGAAAATATTTTGTCTTTTAATAACTGAGCTGACGTTTGGGTGAGACTTTGGTGTCGTATCCACATCAGAGGAGAGAGTTTATGTAAAATGTAGCGTTAGTTAAAACTTCCTCTGTGGTCAAACACGTTAGATAGTAGGCTAACGCTGTCTCTTAACTTGTACAGTAAATGCACGGAGTTAAGGTTGAGGTCGTTTCTGGTTTGCTGCACTGAGATGATGATGCTAATCGGATAACAGCCGTTAATTTCGTTTATTGCATCGCAGTATGGGTGACCGTTAGCGCTTAAACCGACTTGGCTAACTGCGTTTTACACACTAGGTTAATATTAGCTTTAGCCAGCTAGCTCCTCATTCCCCTCTTGCTGCAGCTTTCTCACTTTCTTATGCTGACTTGTCAGGACAGGTGTGCTGAAAGTAGGCCAGGTGTGGTGTGGGGTAGATAGTCTGTAACTTAGCCACAGTGCTCAGAGAGTGTGGTACCAAGTCCAGCAGTCTGCTTCAGGGATTTTTGTCAGTTTAGTGGAGTCAGAGGTGGGATCATGCTGCTCTCCTTGGTTGTGCACACATACTCGCTGCGGTACTGGTTTCCAGCCACAATCATGCTGGGGACAGCCCCGGCTTATCTGCTGTCATGGGGGGCTTGGCGTTTACTATCAACGGTCTTACCAGCGAGAGTGTATCACAGGCTGGACGACCGGCTGTATTCCATCTACCAGAGTATGGTCCTCTTCTTCTTTGAAAACTACACAGGAGTTGAGGTGAGTGATCCTTCATGTACTGGAAGTAAACTTACAGAAAATGTGATTGTTAAAGAAATGGATGGGGATTTTTACTCACTAATGTCTAGTCTAAAAATAGAAATACAGCCACACAGTCATAAGTGACAGCTGTCTCTGACTTCCTGTTCCTGCAGATTTTGAACTAGCAATTAATACTACATGTACACTGCACACATAACAGCGCATTCTTTGCAGTTTTCTGTGTTTGTTGAAAGTCTTAAAATAACAAAATGTAAATTGGAGCTAGAAAACAGGGCTGATCAACAAGATGTTGATGAACCTGATGCTTAGCAAGAAAGTCTGCATTCTTTTGCCATGTCCTTGCCCCTCGTTTCACAGTCAGTATTTTTGTACTTGAGGTTGTGCAGAAAAACAGAAGTGATAGTGTTGTAGCTGTTGTAATCATAGTCTCTGATATGGTGTTGTTTGTGTAGTAAACTGTCTGCTCTGTCCTCCAACTGCAGGCCACATGAGTGGATTGGAAGGGACTTTTCTTTTTTTTCTTTTTTTTTCAAATAAATCCTCTTGGGTTTATTGAAAAGCTGCAGTCTTTGCAGGTTTTGTTTTTGCAAAAAAAAAAAAAAAAAAAAAGGCAAAATCAGTCTGAACTCGAACCAAATCCCTGACGCTATTTGAGTACTTATTAATCAAACAGAATAAATGTTTATCTCAATGTAGAATGACTTTGCAAATTGATGACTATCCCGGACATCTGTGTAATATCTTTAACTCGCTTTTGTTCCTTTCTCTGTAGATTGTTATATATGGAGATATACCAAAGAACAAAGAGAATGTGATCTACCTGTCTAATCATCAGTGTACAGGTAATATATTTGAATATGAAGTTGTAAAAAATTAGTCCAGTATGAAGCACAGTGTAAATATCTAATCTATCAATGGCCTTCCTTGTAGCTGACTGGATCATTGCTGACATGCTTGCCATCAGGCAGAGTGCTATCGGTCATGTCAGATATGTCCTTAAAGATGGACTTAAGTGGCTTCCACTTTATGGATGGTATTTCTCTCAGGTAATGCAACTCTGTGAGTATTTGGATGTAATTTTGTAAATTACAGATGTAAAGATGTAAACAAAACATAAGTCACATTCCCCACTGCAGTTCCAATCAGATAATCTTTCTCTTTCAGCACGGAGGAATCTATGTGAAACGAAGTGCAAAGTTTAATGAACAAGCGATGAAGAAGAAGCTCCTCACTCAGACTCAATCTGGAGCACCGGTGAGTACACTTCATAAATTAGCCTCTTGACTACATGCATATTTACTCTATGAGGTAGACATAATGTCAGCTACGTTCCCCAAATCAAGCTTATATTTAAACTTTCAAAACTTGAGTTCAGATTTTTCTCTCATGGTCTTCCAAAATCTTGTCTTCCAAAAAATTCCCTTTTGTCCTACTCGTAATTAGGACATTGACATTTATGAACAGAACATCATGAACTGAAATGGATAATTACACACTGGATCATGAAGGTCCCTTTACTGTGTGTGTTATTGTGTCGAAAGGGCTTGTTTTTAATCACTTTTTTGGATTAAACTGTGGGAGATTAGTGTTTTTCCCTCTGTGTGTGTGTGTGTGTGTGTGTGTGTGTGTGTGTGTGTGTGTGTGTGTGTGTGTGTGTCCTGGCGCCCCATACACTATGAAAAGCTTAAAAGTTTAAACATAATCAGATGTCACAAGGACAAAAAATCTGAAAATAAGGCTGAGCTTGGAAATAACCAGAAATATACTTGAAATAGATGAACTGATTTTAAATTATATACATTTTTAACATTGACCCGATTTGATTGGAAAATAAATTGATTAAATAAAGCTCAGCACTCACGTACCAGCTTATTCCAGTAATTCACAAATAAATTATGAAACACTTGATGAACTGCTGCATTGTTTCATCATTTGCAAAAGTGAGGATGTTCTTATTGTTTAAAAAACCTTTATAGCCTCAATATTTAGCTGATGATGAAAAATAATTATGCGAGCTTATATTCATACAGTTCTTGTGCTAAAGTGAATTATCAGACAGGTACGACTTCCTGGTAATTGTTGACTTTCATTTCTGACATCATTGAAACTGAAAGAAAGAAATGATACAGTTTAAGACATAAGATTAGTTCACCAAAAGTTCATTAAAATCCAAACTGTTTTTTAAAAACTCTTATCTTGTTTTCTTCAGTAGAGGTTCAGCACAATGCTGTGCTCCATGTTTCTTGTTCAACAAATTCTGTAAGTGTTTGAAATTCCACTTTGGCCAGTGCACGAAGAACCAAAAGTGAAGCTTCCATTTCTTGTGTTTTTGTCCCCACAGATGTACCTTGTTATCTTCCCAGAAGGAACTCGGTATAATCCAGAGCTCAAGAAAGTTATCGCAGACAGTCAGGCTTTTGCTACGAAAGAGGGTACTGGCATACAACAGCAATTTACTACTGTACTGCTGCATACTAATTCAACCTGTTCAGTCTGTAAAACATTGGACTATTTTCTGGTGTTGAAGTTTTCAGTTTAAATTGTGCATCATTGGAATTATGTATTAAAACTCAGAACTTGTATAAAACAAAAAGCAGACACAGCAACGACCTCAAAAACTAATTAAATTTTTTGGCATAGCGATTTATAGGTTGTTTTTTTTTTGTTGTTGTTGTTGTACAGCACAGTTTTTAGGACAATTTTGTTTATGCCCATTTGTTAAAGTATTGATTAATGGAGCTTTTTAAACATCAAAACTACCAAATTCATTCATATCTACACTGGATTACTGGTGTGGTGCCAGGCCCTGGTGAGCTTCCACCAAAACTGCTTATTAAATATTCAGCTGATGTTTTGAGGAATAAATGACTTGGCTGCTGGTCGATAAGAGAGAATTCAGTGCTCACTCACATTAGTGAAAAGAGTCTGTCATAAAGAGATGTCTCCTCTGGTTATTTTTGTCACATTAGGAAGTGAAATTAATTGATTTACAGGGTGCTTGTATTTGACTGCAATGCACATTTCATTACAGCTTTATGATTTTTCATTCAATGCATTAGTTGTATCATCATGATTATTGTGATGCTTTTGTGCAGTATGGTGTTCACATCAGCTCACAAACTGTAACCATTCTGCAGAGATTAAGCCTATCTCTGGACCACAGCTCTGAATATCACCTTCCCCCATTAATCCAAATAAATCGCTCTGGAGAGCCGACATGTGCACATGACATTATCTGCTATTAGTGCGGTATTAGTGTGCAGAGGATGGTGCCACATCGACACAGGAAAAACAGACAGTGCAGAGACTGACCCAAACACAAGCATTCACATTGAATTACTGCTTCATAATGCATTTTATGTGTGTATGTATGTATGTATATATATATATATATTTTAACACTTGCTATCAGTACTCATTTTTTATAGACTAATATGACATGCATCGTCATTACACTGTCAATGAACTTACATTTCTTATGTCCTTACCATAGGACTGGCTATTCTGAAGCACACGCTCACACCCAGGATGAAAGCGTCTCATATAGCCATCGTGACCATGAAGGGCCACCTGGATGCTGTCTATGACATCACAGTGGCCTACGAGGGAACGCTCGGTACCTCCGGTCAAAGAAGACCTGCACCATCAATGCCAGGTGAGCAGGCATCAGAGGATGGCCACAGACATTCAGCTTTTAGACCACATGTTCCCAAAAACGAAGCACACATCAGAACAATTTCTTCCATTTAACCTGGTCTTACAGAGTAATTTGTATATCTAGATATTCTCTCTGAATGGGTAACAAATAAGTTAGTCAGGTCATTACAGCCCACAAGGTAGAAGGGTTCAAGCAACCGATCTCACTGGTGGGCTCCAGAATGATCTACTCTGCCCGGTCATCATTAGCTTCCTGTTGTAGTATACATCACAGGAACGCTTGTTAATACCAACTATAAAAGCAAAAAGATGGATAAAGATCACATGGTAACCCCCGGGCGTAAACAGGGCCTATGAGAAGACCTTCAAGTGTCTAATGACCTTATACACCTCAGGTCTGTTATTTTGTTTGTTTGGATCCATATTAGCTGCTCTATTACATCAGCTCTCATTCCTGTAGTCCATATTAGCACTACAACCCTCTTATTTTCATCATCAATTAATCATTCAATTATTCAGTTAATTACTTGTTTTATGAAACATCAGAAACACCCTAGAGCCTAAGATGACGCCATCAAAGGTTTTGTTTGTCTGACCAAAGGTCAAAATATTGAGTTTATACTAAAAGCAGCAAATTGATTTTCACAGTAGTTACTGATTAGTTTTCTGTCAATCAGTTAATTGACTTGGCTTTTGAAAAATTAAACCTGATAGCAATAATAAAAATGCATGTAAATACCAGTTATTAATGCAGGAGATTTGATTTGTCCATCACAGAGATACAAATGGCATTTTAGCACCAGGTATAAACACCGTCACAGACTGTTAACTTACAGCGGCAGCTTCTATTTTCTGTTTATCAGCGCATCCAGAGTCTCGCAGGCGTTCTATTATCAATCCTGCAACATTGTGTACACTCCCTCAGTAATTAATCACATAGCAAACATCACCTATTAATGGCAGTGTCTTCCTGTAAACAGCATGACTCCATGTTTTGGAGTTTTTGATTATTCTGTGTTCCTGGCTGTTCGACAAGCTCTGTTTGAATGTTAAAAAAAAAAAAACATCCCGTTTCAGTCAGGAATAAACATCAATGTGTTTCTAGCAAACAGAACAGAGAGAACAGAAAAGCATTCTTCTCATCACGCACTTCCTGGCACCATGTGGTGAAGGTGACTTTCGTGATTTCACACGGAGGTCTTAACTGTGAAATCATAATGGGGCATATCGATGCAAGATTCAAGCAATTTCCTCAACTGATTATTGGACATATTAACAATCAATAGTCAGTCAATCATCAAAAACTGGCACAAAATAAATTGCATGTGTTTACATAATAACATTTTGAAACTACTGGTGTGGCCCTTGATCGCTGCAGATTCCAAGCTGATTAGGTATTTGAGCAATCAATTTAAAATATAATATGCAATTATAATTTATAATTATTAATACAAAATAATGTCTCCAAGTGAACACTTGATAAAACTCCATTTTGTTGCTTTTGAGCAAATGGACAGACAAGACCAGAATATTGAATGTAGCAAATTATGCAAATTAGGTTTTTCCATTATTTTTTTTTTTATCTTGAACACGTGTAATTAATAAAATGTGTTATAGTTTAACAAGCTTTGTACTCAGGGAAATGCTTTTGGCTAGAAAAATTTTCATTCAATTCAGGATAGCATGTTAATTTGTTGGTGGCATTTCAGGACCAGTGTGTACCGCTCTTGTAAGTAAATTCGGTTTTAAAATTCAGAGCCAGTAGTTGTGATGCTCTTGAACCTTGACTTCGTGCAAAGTAATCATGTTGAACAAATTTTGTTTGAGAAAACAAAAATAGAGACAGGAAAAAACAGGACTGTCTTCATTTTTGATAATAGAAGCTAAATGTTGCCAGGTCGCAGAGTAGAAATGGTAATGAAACTTAACAATATGTGCCATCAAGTATTTCTTATCAGTGAATGAACTCCCTGCACCTCTCTTGGAGCTGTTTAGTTCCCTCTTTGTATGCAGACGTCTCCAGATGGTAAAGATTTCATCTCTCAGATTTTCAGCTCCACTAGAGTTTGTTTTTTAAAATCAGGAGGAATTGTTTGTCACTCCAGAGCGAAGAGTTGATTTCCTTCATCTCCTCCAGGTTGTTGTTTTTAAAGTGTGTTTTGGAACATTGTTCAGCTCAAGCACACATGACCTGCAGTGGAAGCTCAGCTTTCTTTTAGTAGGTTCACTGAGTTGCCAGTGTTCATTAAACTGGCACATATTGTGTCTGAAGGTCAATTTATATCCGTGCGGCAGCTGATGGAGGTGCGCTTTCTCAACCAGAGAAGCAATCTTTCGCTGCTGACTTCGATCAAGTTTCCTCTTTTGGCTGCAGTGCCAAGTTTCCTGATAATATTGCATGTTGTGGAAACAGGAACTTGAAGGTCTCTGGGGATAAACGTGTAGCCTTGAGCATTCACACTTGGTTACATTTTTATATCTGACCTTCTCAGACACTTTGGTTTTCTTTCTCTGCTTGTTGTCGTGACAGTTTGATTGGGTTTGAGACTGAAAACATTTCAACTTATTTACTGTAGAAAAATTTAACCGTATCATTAAACAAATGATATTTGATTAAAGATTTGAATACGTTATTTCATTTCAGATATTCGATTGGACTGTCTACATTGAAACTTGACTTAGACTTAGGACACAGTTTTTGAGCTGAGTTCATTCTCAGTTCTGTATTTGCTCTTGGTTGAGAATCAGTTCTGTAACTATTGTGACCAACAAGCTGCTGTACCTCAGGGGTCTTTACTTTCTTGAATCAAAGGGGCTTGGCATCACAGCGTCATAGCAGCTCTACTCTATCACTGTCACCTCGTGTTGATTTTAAGTGCTTACTCTACGTGCCGTTTCGCTGAAAGGCTTTTCCTGTTTTTGTTTAGTCTCTTTATTTTCTGTGTTTGACAGAATTCCTGTGTAAAGAATGTCCCCGTGTCCACATACACTTTGACCGTGTGGACATAAAGGAAATTCCTCCAGAGCCAGTGTTTTTCCGCAGGTGGCTGCACGAGCGGTTCGAAATCAAGGACCGGTAAGTGTGTGTGGGTGGAACAATTAATCATGTTGAAATTGCATGTTATCCAATCAATATGTAAACTGCAGTGAGGTTTTTAAATGCTTTGTTTCCGAACACCATCAGTTTTAAGTAGAGATATGTATCTTAGCTTCTGTTTGACTCATAGAAAACCTGAAAGAAATACAGTCTTCAGCTTATTCTGAAAATCTGATTATATGCACTTCCCTGTAGTGTAAAGCTGAATTAATCTAAGGATGAATTAATCTGGTTCATGTAGGTACAATAAATAAAAAAGGTCATAATTCGGGGTAGCAGAATTTATATTAATGTATGTGTATATGTATGCATGTACATTTACAAGAGAGACATATCTGATGGGAAAGAAAAAATGCTCATTAAGCAAATACAACAAAATATAATATCAAATTGAGTCTGTCTGGCCCTTTCGGTCATCGTCAGTGGAGCAGCAGAGCCTTGTGTCTTCAGTGTCTAAAAACTGACAGGTTGAGAAAATCTTAACTTGAACTTTTCGTTTGCAGAAACTCATAAGGTGGTTGTGCTCTAGATATTAATTTCAATAACATTATAGTTGACTTATTTCATTACAAGTTTCCCAAGTGTTTTTTAATTACCAATAAAAGTTAAAGTAATTGGAGCTGAAATGGTTGCTGGGAGAATTGGCAACTATTTTAATGCACTTTTTTAAGCAAAAACACTTCTTAAATGTAACTTTTGAGAAATTACTCAATCAATAAAATGATCAGCAGATTAATGATCAATGAAAATAATTATTAGTTGCATCCTTAAAATCAATTCCCATGTGAGGCATGACAGAAAAAAATATTTGACAATATCAGCCAAGCCAAAAAATATATGATTTGGTGCTGATGTGTGTGTGATTTTTATTTATTTATTTTTTTTACTCCCTGTGTATTTCTAAGACGGACTGAATTACTAAGAATTGTCTCTGTTTTCAAAGGCTGCTGACGGATTTCTATGAGTCGGAGGATCCAGAGAAAATTCGCAAATTCCCCGGGGAAGGCAAACCATCTCCGCTGAACCTCTCGAAAACCCTCCCATCGGTGATAATTTTGGGGGGACTGACACTGCCATTACTGCTGACAGAGAACGGCAGGAAACTGTACGTGAGAACCTGGGTGTACGGGACACTGCTGGGCTGGCTGTGGGTGAACTTTTTTCCTTAACGAACGGGGAAGAGGCTGAGATGCACAAAAGACATGGAGAGACGGTGCCATTTTTCTGTATCACAACAACACAAGCTGTGTTCCAGATGCAGACCAGTATCTGATGAGAGGCTCAGAGATTTATCCCACACGTCTGGCTCACTGTTGACCTTGAGCTGAAAGCTGAGCAGAAATACGGAGAAATGTGAAAAATGAAAGCTCTTTGTGCTACCTGTTCCCCTAGCGTTATTTGGATTTGCAGCTTGAAATTATGAGTGGATTTTTTGAAAAGTATTAGGTTTATCAAAACCCCCCTCTCTATTATGAAATAAAGATTACTGCATACTGCTCTAAAGATAAATTTCCCCCCCAAAAAAAACAAAAACTTTCCCCCTTCATCAGATTTAGCCAAATTAGTATTCTTGCATGCTCACTTTTTCATCAGACATTGGCCAGTTTTAAAGCTCTTATGTGACATTTATTTTTGACAGCAAAGTGTGCTGAGTACTCTCAAAACACATTTAATCATGATGGTCAGCTATTATATGTAACTGACGCAGTGCACTAGCCAACTAATAATGAATCATTAATTATAAAATGCACTGACTCATTGACATCGGTTGTAATGTCTGTTTTTTTTTTTTTTTATGCCAAGTCCATGTAATGAGAGTTATGCACTTTGCTCATTTAAAGTGATGTTTTTACATTAGTAGAACAAAATAAATGGCATGCAGTCCTCTGTAGGGGCACATAACCATGACACCAGCTTCACTGTTTACCAGAAATATTCATACTGACATCACTTTGTTTTCTATCGATAATGAATGTAGCTGTAAAAACATGTTCATTTATGCATATTTGAAAAGGTACTTTTTAAAAAAATTTCTGACATCCATTAATATCCTTCAAAAAAATATAAAAATAGTGCACATTTTTGAACAAAGTCCTTGTCACTGAACAGTCAGATGCCACAGTGAGTTCATATAGAGGAATGCATGTGCAAAATAAAAATGTTCTACCACTGTAAAATAATACTTAACACCTTAAAATGTCAGTCATTGCCAAAACCTGGTGTATTTTTTATTTTTTTGGCCTAAAACATTATAATTCCATTTTTATTATGGTTTATTCATAATTCCATAACTTTTATATGCATTTGTTACTTCTAATACCGTGTTACAGCTCACTTGAAAGTATCTACCAAGCAAAAAGCTGACAAAGCCATGTTAACAGTATATCACAGGTTCCTGTGTACTCAAAGCCATTTGTATTATAAACATCACTGTATTGTGAAATGCACTGTGTTGTCCATTGTCGTCGTTTACTGTAATGAAATCATAGCATTTTTCCATGAGTCACTTTACATATTTGCTGCCTCGTCATCCTCCCAGTTAGTCAGTCTGTAATATATGTTTTCCTCATGTGGATTGTCCAGTAAATCTCATGGTTTTTACATGTCGCTCCAATACCTCACTTGAATAATCCTTCCTTGTTCTTAAATGACCCTTGTCAGCCATTTTATAGTCATTTTTATCCTGACAAGATCAGACTGTAACTCATCAGGAAATTCTATGTAGACAGTATTTCAATGCCAACTGTTTTTGGAAATGTGTGCCTTCTCTCTGGAGGAGTTGGTCCTCAGCCCTCCCACAGAGGGCCACAGTGGCTCTTTATTCAGCAGGTGACTGCATGGAGGCACTCTGCTGGAGCTGCTGCTCACTGCAGTTTGTGGTCACATTGTCTACAGTTCATAGTGGCTTATTTTGCTCTGAGAATGCATTGATTTACACTTTTTGAGGATTATTATTAAACGATGAAACCTTTAATGTATGTAAGTTCTGGAAATGGGGGGTCAGAGTGAAATAAAGTGGTTTTCTTTGGGGAGAGTCAAGGTGTCTGTTGTCTCACTGTCCTGAGCACATGATTATTGATGATATTATCTTGTACTCAGTCACAGGCACAGATATTACAGATGCAGCAATATATTCTGGTAGTATATTAATATATGCTACCAGTGTAATGTTTTTCTATTAGAATTATTTATACATTTTAAATTAGGCTGATTTTGCAACAAGCATTTAGTAGTCTTTGCAGGATCCTCATTCTAAACAATACCATGTAGACTAAGTTTAAAAATTCATGCCCAAGGGGCCATTTTTTGTATTTAAGCTTGAGATACCAGAGGGACAGCTCATGGCCAATATAAAAAAAATTATCTTTTGGGCCCATATTGACCACCCATCTCCATAAGCCCACTGCTCTCCGTGCATCGTGTATGCAACATATCGCCTCCATGTTCACGGTAAGTGTAGTGGACACAGCAGACTACACATGTCAAGATTATTAATTGATATAGGACCTGCCTTTGTTTCAGTTGTCTGTTGAATAATAGTTAATATTAATATTCACTAACAAATTTATAATTGAACATAATTACTAAAATGAATTGATGTGTTGCTCGGTTGCTATGAATTTGATTTTTTTCACTGAAGTCTGGTGTATGTTGTTTGACATTGGCCTTGATCTCGGTGGAGTTCTGTGCTCTCTGAGTGCCCCTCTAGTTTATTTATTTATTTGTTTGTTTTTGACTTAAAAGTGAGTTGAGTCAAGGAAAACTCAGTCTGCACAACTCACTCATCTTTTAATTTTTCATCTACACCATTTTAGGTTCATTCAACTTAGAAACACAAGTTCCCCTGCCTTAAAAATGTGAGTTAATAAGAAGTAATATAATAATTTGAACGGACAGATCTGCTTTCCTTTTATACAACAGTCAGTTCTTCATTTGAAAAACATACAGCAGTAGCTGTAAAAATATTTTGTCAATACAAGAACAACATGCAGGGCTGCCTGTGTGAAGTATAGAAATAAAGTTATAGTAATATGGGGACCAAAATATTTTAACTTTTCTAAATTAAAAAGGCAATTTGAGTCCAAAAGTAACTAAATACAATAAACACATTTGACTTTATGAGGAGGGAAAATAAATGGTAAATGATGAGTCTGAAATTGTGTATTAATTTATGGGAGAGATCGTACATTTGTTATGTTTTAAATGTAGATTCCTTTCATTTTATTTTATCAAATAAATCGGCCCAAATGTTCTGAAAAATCTTCTTTCCCAGTTTATCGACAGTCAGCGAACACAGCACGAAACAAGCGACGCATGCGTATTACGGTTTGCGGAGAGCAACAAGGAAGTTCACTGACATATTGAAGGTAACGTTTCTCAGTTTCTGCTGCTGTTTTGTTTGAACTCAAGGTAACTAAATACGTCAAACATACAACAGTGTAGTGGTAAAAAGATTAACAATACGGGCTTCACATGGAAATGACATTATTTGTAAATTATTAGTGTGAGTATGCTTGTAGTTGTGCTTGTGTGAAGGCTTCTTCTGTTGTTTTATGTTTTAATCACAGTGACATCTAGCGGTTTGTCAGGCTTCCTGCTGGTTGATAGAGAAAGTACAAGACGTAAACTTATTTGTGTTCAAATCTTAAAATTTTAACTTTAAATTTAAATAAACGTTCACAGACACAATATTGTGGTTCTTCGTATTAGTTGAAAGGAGACAATTTGTTGCTTTAATGGGAAAAACACTAAACGTGACCTTAACCAAACTTAACCTTAACTAAACTTGCCAAAAAGTGATTGCAGCATCTACCATGTCACCATAAGGTTATTTATGCCTCAAAGGGACTTTATTTCACTCACAAGGTTTACATTTATTAGATTATAGCTCACCCAGTTCTTCTTTTTTTTTTTTTACCAGTTTAAATAGTTTAAAGCAGCAGTACAACCAGTAACATGCAGTTTTCCACTTGCCAAATCATGACTGATGCATCTACCTTGTCACTGAGAGGTATTGGTTGTATTGCAACTTAAAAGATATACTATTGGATTGGTTATAATCTAGAGCAATGAGTGGGTCAAAGGTCATGCCGGGTTATACAAACACTAGTTAAAGTGCAAACATTTCTTTGGCTTCAATTGTGATTTTTCAGTTACATTGATCCTGATTCTGTCCATCATCTTTTTTTATATAAATAAATATACAGATTTTGCAAAATGTGGGAACTAAATCATCTCTAGACTCAACATGTCACTTGTCCTGTATTTCTGTACAGCTTTGCGATGGCAGTGGACTGGATTGGATTTGGCTATGCTGCAGCCATCGCTTTTGGAGGATTCATGGGATACAAGAGAAAAGGTCGAAAGCTCACACTCAATGATCTCAAGTTTTTCATCTTTTCATTTTGGCAGAAAAAGCTCAACCCAAGAGAATTGCCACACGATTAATTTGATTATCTTTATGTGTCTCTTCTTTCACTGTAGCCAGCGTGATGTCCCTGATGGCTGGTTTAGTTTTTGGTGGATTATCTGCTTATGGTGCTTATAACATCTCTAATGACCCAAAGGACATAAAGGTCTCATTGTGTGAGTATGGCAAAGCTCATTCTAATATGGGGATTTTCAATAGAGAACTGGTTAAAATGTCCAGCTGGTATCCTGTCATGGTGTTTTCTTTCTTTCAGTTGCATCAGGAGTCCTCTCAGTAGTGATGGGGAAGAGATACAAAAAATCTGGAAAAATATTGCCTGCTGGCATTATGTCGGGGCTAAGGTCAGTCAGACTTACTCAACATGCAGAAACTTGAAGAAATTTAATAAAACAAATCAAGGACTGTGACATGAATTAACAAGTTACTAAATTCTTGTTGAATTAGTCATTTCTGGTTTGCTTTTGTCTCTTTCTTTCAGTTTGTTGATGGTGTTTCGACTGTTACTCCTGATCATGGTGTGATTGGAGGAACAACACTGACCAAACATCAATGAACAAGCCTTATTTTAAAGGAAACATCATTCCCAGTTAGCACAGTAAAACAAATGTTATTTTTATATGACAATATGAGGTTCATGTCACCAGAAACCTTGCAAAAGGTTTCACAGATCATAAACAGATTTAAGATAACTCTTATTGCAGTAAATCATTTTGGTAATCTTGTATAACTTTTTTTGTACTAGCTTGAACATAAACCTTGTGATTAATTTTTAATCTTGTGTTATTACCCAAGATTTATTCCCTCATAGTACTGGCAGCACAACATATATACATGAGCTTTGTGAGTGCTATTGTTTGTCATGGCAGTGTGTTTACTGTATACACTACAACATCAGTTTTGCAGGCTCTTAAAATATCAAGGTTTATAAACTGAAATATTCAACTTCCTGAAAAAAGGAACAAGATTGAAGGATAAAAATTGTATTCTTGACTCCTCACATGCTACGGGGAAAGGAATTAAAGTTAACATGTTTGCGTTTTTTGTAATAACAGCAAAACAAAATAAATTGATGTGATTGAAATAAATGGTTTATTTAGTAGAATCCTCACGTTAAAAACACAGATATGTTTCAAAAGATTGGATTGGATTTACTGTACATGCTATGCTGGCATAATGAAACATTCACACTGCCTGTGTGAGGAGTACCAGATCTTTCACAGGTCATGGCAATGGTAATTTTACGTTGAACACCTCCATGACCGTCTTCACATAGGCTTCATCTGGCTGTGGCTTCCTCTTGCTGCCTGGTTGCAGGAACCTGCTGATGGCGGGAATCCGAGTCATCCTGCCCTGGAAAGACTGGAGGGAAACAGAAAATCATCTTTAAACACAGCAGTTGGTTTTTGTGCACGGATATGATTGTTAACATTATACTGGGATTTCATAGGATCAGTGAATCTTTTTGTTGTTGTTTCTTTCTATATCCTGCCTTTCACAGGAAGTCACATTTACCTTGATGTTGGGAAAATCAGCGAGGATTCCAGGAAATTTCTCCTCCAGCATCAGGGTGCATTCAAGAAGCTCCACATCTGCACAGCTTAGTTTACCTCCCACCAGGTATATGGGCCCAGACAGCGCCTGAGAACCAAAGACGCACAATGTCTCACTGTGTTATTGTAAACAATCATATATAGTCATCAACATGTCAATTTTACATCTTACAGAACTTTAAACCAAAATTAATCACTTATTGGACCAGTTCATATACATACAGTAGGTGTATTGGTACCTTTTCAAACACAGGCAGGTAGCGCTCTTTTGCTTTAGTTTGAATATTCTTCAGTTTTGCTTCTACATCTGTGCTGAAGGGCAAAATCATTATCATTTCCATGAGATCGATCAGTCCCTCTGAGTACATGTTGATCCTGGGGGAAAGCATTCACATATACTATAACACAAACATCTATTAAAATCACATGATAACAGTAGGCACTCCAATCATTGCCATAATAAAGTAGTGGATCATACAAGACGCGGTCTTTGAGATTTTGTCCATGAAGATTGTACTTCTCTGCGATGTAATTCAAGATTGCCTTTGTCTGAACAAGCCTCATGCCATCGATTTCCACCATAGGAACCTGCTGAAACATGAGAGATCCATCTGCAAAGGAAACACAACAGCAACTCATACAAGGCGGAAGTCCCAGTGTTAAAACACTACTAACTCTGTGTCTGTGTCTCAAGATATTTGAGACCTTGACCTCCAGATAGCTGTTTCACCCCAGGTTGCGTCATATGTGGGTTGAAGTTAAGAGATAAAAGGGAAAAAAAGGCTGTAAATGATACAGGCCACATAAGAGTTCATCCACAGACTTGATTTTAGTTTTAAACACCTTTGTACAACCGACTTACCACTGAGGAGTTTTTCATACTGCTCACGGGTAGTCAGGTGGACCTCATCAAACTGTGAATGTGAAATTACAAAAGAGAATTAGGGCACATTCAAGAGGTTTGACATTACTTTAAGACAGCAGATTAACACCACCACACCCTTCACTCACGTCAACTTCTGCAACTGTCAAAAGCCAACGGATAGTCTCCATTTTTCCCCTTCCATTGAAGTAGTGCAGCACAACCTTTTCAGCCATTGCTATTGTATTTTGGGAATGTATATCTGTGAAGCTAAAAAGAGAAGTGGAAAAAATACAAATCACATATTTACAGATAAAGATGCATGTGCTAAAGCTGAGTTAGATAAATTGCCATACCTGAGCACCGACTCGGGTAGAATGCGCACCAAGGTAGTTTAAATCCTTATATAACTTTGTACTGTCAGAAAAAAGTTAAAGGTGGAGAAAACAGACAAAGACTATGATTGGTTGGTCCTAGCCAATAGAAACACGGTCATTAACATATTGTCGCTAAACATCATGGGAAAGGGAATTGCACAAGCGGTGTTCAATCGATCATAGTTCACCAAGTTCGATAGAAATATCGATGTAATTTGTGTTGAGAAAACAAATCAGGCATAATATACAAGCCGTGGCGAACATTTCGATTATTGACACCCTGATGATATACGTTTGTCTTCTATGCCGCTATATATTGGAGCCGCCCCGCCTACAGCACTCGGATGTGAGGGCGATCTGGCTGCGACATCTGTCACCCCATTGATCGCTAGGGTTGATTCGGCTGATCTGGCTGGCTAGGCGGGTGTCCCCTTCCTCCCTCACCGCTCCACGTGTGTCCCTCCCGAAGCTCCGCGCTCGGTGGAAGAGGACGAGGTCCCCCCGGCGGACGACCATCCATCGGTATACCAGTAGCTGCGCTCCCCTGCTAGAACCTCCAAACAAGCTCAAGGCCCAGTTGTAGGAGAAACGTAGGGAAGTCAAGCTCCAAGCTTCAGACACATCCAAGTGCGGCGCTGCACGTGGCAGTCTGCCTTACTTTTAACATTATTATATTAAAATTTTAAAGCCAAATAAACATTAAACGTTTTTCTTTTCTTAATACTGGTAATTATTAGGATGGCACTATTTAAAATCACTATTTGTCACCGGGTCTGGCTTGCCTGTGCCCCCTATTTCAGTTGAGCCAATGTCCTCTTGTAGGTTGCGCTATGTAGAAAACTTACCTTTGGGGTGCCATAAATATTCGTTGGAGAAACATGGAGTTACTTTTATTCTCCGTGCCTTGCCTGCAACAAGGCTACACTAGAGTTCTGTGAGTTGTTATTTCTGCTTGCAGAAATTAAATTTTTTCCCGCATAGCCATAAAGAATAAGTGTGTTGTGCTGTGTACTGTATGTGTACCAATGCTGGCAAAAACACATTACAATCTGGGCTCTACGAAATAAATTTGATTCAGACCATCAGATCAATATAGATACACTATATTCATGCATGTATAGCATTAACAGTGAGATTTTACTGACCTGGTTTAACCCGTCACTTCATCAGTTAAAAGTTTTATAAATATGACTCGTTGAAAATATGGTACCCATTCAAAAGTTTAATTATACTCAATAACTGGCCATTAAATAATCACACTCAATTTGGCCAAGAACATGTTAATTTGGATCATGTTACTGCTGAAACTGAAACAGATTTATACAATGTGGCAATGACTTGAATTGTATTCATTTAAATTTAAATTACAGCACTGCCTTGGATGTCATTAACACACAAATAATAGTTAACTGATTGACAAGGTGACCATTATAAAACAAACAGCAGCAATATAAAAAAAAACGACTGTATTGTACAGTGCCAAAGTAATTAGTTAGCCAAAAACAAGTCACAGTGAAGTTTTCATAAAGTTATAATATGCATATTATGTATACAAGTTGGTGAACAACATTCAATGATAAATCTGATACAAAACTGAGGGTACAGGTGTAACCTCTGTAGGACAGTAGTTAAGTTACAGAAATACAAAATAAAACACTGAGGAGCAAATCTGAGCTCGAATTTTGGCCATTTGCATTTAGCCGTACACATACACTTTGATATTTTACAACTCACAACATCCATAGTACACATAATGAAACAAAATTTATTGCTGTATAAGATGTATATACAGATTTTGATTATAAAACAACTAGGCCTACTCTTTGGAGGTGAAAGATCTCTCTTCTGGGGCACAGATCAGAGCTCCAGGGAGGCCACTAGCGGTGTCCATATTTGGCAGACCAGTCTGTTCGCCCGTGTATGGTCTGTACCGGAGGGCGAGGCAGCACACCAGCGGTGCTCTTGTTGGCCAACGGCATGTTGTTGGAGGTGTTCATTTGACTCCTGCCAGACCGCCATGTTGCATAATCTAAAATATGACAATAAACACACAACGAACAATAAAAGGTTTGTTTGGGGTTTTCTGAAAGGCAGTTTTAGGCGGCTTCACGTTCAAGTTCATATTAGTTGAAACACAGATAGAGGAATATTACAGAAAGTTCAAGGCTCTAAATCTTTGCTCACTTGATGCTGTTGATTCCACTGAAGGACCCTGATGCCCTCTGTGACCGGCAGAACCAATGTCTTTTTTATAAAATGATGGCATGTATCCACCTGGGATTGTATTTGTACCTGGTATTTAAAACAAACACACAGATCTATTAATTTGAACCTACTCAACAGTGAGAATGATTGAGATAAGTTGTGAAGACTGCGGTGAAGTTGCGGTGTAAATGCCCTGGGAGATTACCGTGAGCGCCTCTGCTCGGTAGAGTCCCACCAAATGGAATACTAGTGTTGCCCCAAAGATGGCTGCCACTGAAGTCTTTACTGGCATTCATGGCCACATTCTTCTTTGTGCTAATGCCTATAGGAGACAGTAAAAGATTATTATATACATTCTTTTCTAAAAAGAATAAAACGCAGGGGGTGAGGAACAGCACCACAACAAAGAAAATGGAATGGAAAATAATAATGGAAAAAATGTCCAGGTTCATTCAAATAACTGCAAAATAAGTTAAAAAATCAGATAATAAAACTGGCCCTGCCCCTGATCCTACTAAGAAAAGTCTTAAACTATACAGTATATTACCAGGTAAATATCTTGACTGCCTTAAGTAATGTTGTTTAGCAGAGGCGGTTCTTGATGGCTCTTGGTAGGATGAAGTCTTGTTCAGGTTTAAAGGTGCATCTTCCTTTCCACTGGGTCGACTGAAATCCAGAACATTTCCATATCTGAAAGACAGAGGGCACTCAGTGAGACTGAGGTGGTGTGAATTAGGGGAGACCGGGTATGGTTGTGACATGGGGAGAGTTCTAATACCACCAATTCCACCAAACTGGGACAATATAGGATTAAAGTGTTACAACCATACCCGGTCTCCCCTACCTGTTTGTGGTAACCTTGATGTATGGACATTAGCTCAGGCTATTACTACTACATTACAATAGCATCTTTGTTTATATGTCATTACAGTTCAGATGCCACCGAGTCTGCCCTGATGACAGATGATAACCTCACCTGCTCAGTGCGTCCTCCCCCTGCCTCGACTTCTCTGTGGAGAAGCTGCTTTTTCCAAGAATACTTATGGATGTCAGATCAGTTTCTTCGTACTCGTCCCAGTCTTCACCCTTAAGGTGACCTGTGCCGTGGCCCCAACGCCGCCGTCCTCCTTTAGGTTTCAACTGATAGCTCAGCAGGTTGGCATTTTCTGACTCCTGTCTCGTTTGCTAAGAGGACAATCACCATCAACCATGCATGTGAGGAATATTTTGCGCAATTACATGTTAGAAAAAACAACTTATACTGGTATATTGGTGTGGATATTCTGACTGTCAGCCTCCCTTTTATGGAATTATTCTATACTACAGAATTACTGTGAATAAAAAAAAGAAGAAGTGAAGACCAGCAAAGGAACGGACCACTTGATGGAGTCACTATATTATATATTGTATTGTATCAAACGGCCAAATAGCTTTGAGGCCAGGTTTATAGGATTGCTACCCCTCAAACATCTATATTTATATGTGTATGAAAAGGCTTCACTCATCCATCCACCTGCTGGAGCAAATAAAAGAGAATATCTGAAATTTCACAATAACTCATAATAGTCATAGATATATATAAACAGATATATAGTAAATACACAGAGAGACAGACACACACATAATGTTTCCAAGCCAGGCCCAGCCTCACCTTGCTCGGGAGACTCTTGTCTACAATGTAAGGAAGATGGCTCTGTGGCGTTCCTTCGGTCTGTTCCTGCTTCAGGATGTGCTTTGGCTGCTGCTCTCGCATCAGCTCTGCGTGCCGTTGGTACACTGCCGCCTGGGCAGCTGCTGATACAGGTGAGGGCTGGATCTGCTGGAGAGGCCTGGAGGGGGAGCAGTGTTGGTTGGGAGGTGGAGGCTGGGAGGGGGGGACAGGCTTAAGAAGCAGGGGTTGCTGCTGCAGAGTCTGCTGTGACTGTAAAGGAGCCTGCAGCGGCACAAGACCTGGCTGAGGTCTGCCCTGCTCCAGGATCTGCTGAGGAGTGCCTAAAGCCTGGCCCACATGGAAGTAAGAGTACCTGAGAGCCTGAAAAGATAAAACGATTTGGACAAAAAACATCAGCTTTCATTGTGAATGTTCCGCTGTGATGGCTGTGGAAGTATAGGTCCGACACTACCTGGGCAGAAGCTGGTCTCTTCTTGGGATCCCACTGAAGCAGGTCTGTCATCAGGTGGATGGCTTCAGGACTGGCATTTGGGATCAGTGTCTTCAGATTACTGGGAACACACTGAGGCCAACGGAAATTCATTGCACTTGCCAGCTGGTAACCCTCTGGCCAATCATTCTAGAGGAGAAGACACAGTCCAGTACACACTGTATTTACATCTGATTCAACAAGAATAACTGTTTTTATTGACAGTAATAGTAGTAGAAGATTAGTAACTGAAAAAATATATGGGTGATAGTGCTGACCTTTGCCACAGGACACACACATGCAGTGCAAGACACAAATATGGTGTACATACTACATATTTCTACTACATATAAATATAGATTTCCAGTTATTCCCAGAAAAAAAAAACCTACTAAGTATGTGACTAAAATATTGGCACATTCAGCTGAGTGCAAATACTTAAGTCCTGATAACCATCTATAATGGTCATGAATTAAACTAAAGAGTCACCAACTAGGTTTGACACATTTGTCTAGTCTGTATATGTGCCTCTTTCCTGTGTATATGATAGATTTAAATTTTAAAACCATGTTGATAAAGAGTTTGTGAGAATTCTGAGGAGTTACACAGCTGATGTAGACGGCTGCACTAGTTTAAACAAAGTGCATTTCTTCTGTCAGACGGAAGACTGAAAAACACATCTTGTCCAGACAGGGTGCAACAAGAAAGACAAATAAGTGCTCTTTGTAATTCTGCTGTGCACATATGGTGCATTCAGTTAGCAGTACACTCTGTCAGAAGGGCTTTGCAGATGGTCAAATAACTTCAGAAACCCCCCTGCCACCACACGTTTCCTTATACTCATTTATTTAAACGGTATCACGTCTCACCTTCTCTTTGACGTTGGACAACACGTTGCACAAACTCGTTCTGAATGAGCATAACCCAACCCTTACTGTGTCCTCAGGTGTTTAACTGTTCACCTCTCAGTTTATCAGTGAGATTCAAATGGATGAGCCTTTTGGGCTTTGTATTGTTTCTGTTTCACATGTGATAAGTATTACCTTCTTTGGTGTACCCAAAACTTGGCAAATCTTGAATATGGTGTCTACTTCACTGGAGCCTGGGAAAAGAGGCCTGAGGGTATAAAGCTCTGCCATGATGCACCCAACTGCCCACTGGTCTATGGGTGAACTGTAGGATGTGGATCTGAGGAGCACCTCTGGTGCTCTGTACCTAGTCCAAAAAGAGAGGGTACTGGGACTTCAATGTGCTGAACTATAAAGTGTTCTTTCATTTAGGCTAAGTTTAAGTGCATTATGTTGACTTACCATCTAGTCGAGACATAGTCTGTGTATGGTGGTCGAGATCTGATCTCACGAGCAAGCCCAAAGTCAGCAATTTTCACCAGTTCGGGGCCCATGCACAGAAGATTCTCAGGTTTCATGTCCCTGTGAAAAAACCCTAACAAAAACACACTGCATGACCATCTTGGCTCAAACAAAGTTATTTATAAAATGTTGGTTGTGATAGTTTAATTTAGCTCCCTGGAATAGTAAACACACATACCGTGTTTATGAATGAATGTAAGCCCCTGTAGTATCTGAAACATAATATTTCTGACCGCAGATTCAGGAAACAACCTAGTCCTGCAGCAAGAAAGAGACAGATCGAAAATGTAATCAGTAAGCAACTGTAAGCATTTACCAAATATGGTTTCAATGTGGATATAATAATGCAACAAACAACAGCTATACGCACCTGTCTTTCATCAGCTGATATAAATTTTCCTTCATGTACTCAAATATAAAGTACAAGTGATCATTTTCTCGAATTACCTCCTTAAGTTTGATCACATTCGCATGATTGAGTTTCTTTAAGGACTGAAAAAATAAAGAGAGGTTATGTAAGAATATGTGGAATGAATAAACAAAAAAAATTGTAGAAATAAAATAAATCTAACCATGCTGGATAATACACACAAGTCACTGCAGCACATTCAAAAGCACACCCTACAACTATAAAACAAAACCGTATTGTTAAAACATGGCTCATGTAAGAACACAATGTAGTTTGGGGGTAAATGCTGCCAAGGTGGGATTTATGCTCAAAATTTTAAAAGGAAAAATAAATAGAGTAATAGAAAGCAGGATGGACATATATATGTATATACATTTTTCCCATGCACTGGGATGATACAGGTTTAACCATGCTAAATCTTAGTAAGGAGAAAAAGCTGTAAAGGGGGATTTTGAGATTTTATGGTGTGACATGCTGTAATTATAATCTATTTAGCAGGACTCTAAGGACCAGCGTGTTCTACACATGTTTTGCTGCGTTAAGGTCAAGCTCTAGGAAAGGGAACGTGTAGGCCAGGGATGGGAACCAGAGCTCAAAACCAACAGCACACAAGAATCACCTTCTACTCTTACAGCTGGTGTGTGACTTTCAGCTGCGAGGAAATTTAGACATATCATTGCATTACCCACAAATCATCAAGTTATCATGAAGTTACTTATAACTTCTCTAGTTGAGATAAAAAAATAAATAAAAATAAAAGAACCCAAAATCAACCCAAACAGAAAGTCAGAAATGTGACCCCAAAATACTATTTACCTGCTCACTGCATCAGAACAGGTGACATAGTGACATCAAACATTACATGCAATATTTAATGTTTGATATTCCATTTTGATGTTTATTGATGTATCCACTCTTTATATTTGCTTATACTAAGACGTTTGTAACTGATGTTAATATTTCAACATTCAACTAACCTTTTACCACTTTAGAAATATACTGTTCACATCACTACTATTATTTATCTATACTCATATCAGCTTTAAAAGGTGAGAAAAATGTAATGAATGGAATTCCTTCCTCATTAAACATTTGCAAAACCAATTTCACGTGACTATGATTATCCATGAAAATGTGAGCAGTTGGACCATTTTGGATACGACAAACATGACAGGGGTTACAGAAGTTACAACAGTTTCACAGTGTAAGTAGCCTATTGATGCCATCAGCTATTTGTGTCAGTGACAAAATTGAAATTAGTTAATTAAATTCAGCCGTTAGCAGGTATACTGTTGTTCCACTCCTCTACAACAACAACATTGTTTTTAAGATTAGCTGGTAATACAGCGTACCATACCCATTATTGGAGAATTGAGCCAAAACGCCATTGTGGGGCTTTGATAACAAGACTGAACAGCCAAGTTAATGGAAATCAGTTGCAGCCAGTACTACAGTACATTAATATAAGCAAATACCAATTAACATGAATGTTATCAGTAAATATGGACCATTTACTGCCAAACAAACAAAAAAACAACAACAACAGCTCTGATTACATTCTTTATTATACTACAGAAATGGGAACTCCCTTTAAGTTGATTTTGGGTTGATTTTTCCATAATTCATCTGTGCTATTCAAATGTGTGAAACTGTTAAAAATGAAAACATTAACTAACCTTAACTTCACGAAGGTTCATGCATTCTTCCCAGGAGTAGAATTTTCTTTTCATTCTGAAAAATATTGTTCCTGTTAACAATATGTTGTAAAATTACACCAAATTGCATGTCAGTCTCACAACTTCCAGATACTCACTTCTTTATGGCAACTAGTTCTCCTGACTCCAGACTACGGCCAAGGATGACTGAGCCGTAGGTGCCATCCCCGAGCTGTCTGATGGTAGTGTATCTATTCATTATGCTTGTCCTTCCGTAGCATCATCCGGGGGCAGATAATAATTGGGTTGGAAATAGAAGATGTGTTCGCTTCCTGTTGCTGAATGCAACCAGATTTTCCTGTGACAACAGCAGAAAACCACGGGCAGAGCTGGAGGACTCATGGTGTCATGGACTTGCCTCCCTCTAGCTGAGAAAGTGAGGGAAGGAAGAATGACAAAAACTGATGTTAAGTATGTGGCTGTATGAATTACAAGGTACATTGCTCAAAACAAACCAAGTATGACATGACTTGGCCAACTGACCACAAACTCACTACTAAGTGGGGCATTTTGTCATTTTGTGACATTGATTTGAAAATGTCGGTGCTTACCTTAAATCCCAGTGTAGGACGTTTACGTACAAGAGGATTTTGTGACATCATAACTAGTTTGTGATACCATATGCAATTTACAGTGATGTGTAAACTTGAGGTCTCCAGTGTGCATTCACTTGTCCTCTCCTTATTCTAATGAATACATCCATAATTCCCTGAGAATTTAATCCTCAGTGAAGTAGGAGACATCATGTCCAGCCATTAATCTTCTGATGTAAACAACATTTGCATATTCACAGATTCAGATTTTTCAATTAGGGATAAAATGTAGATGTAACCAGATTTCAAGGAGGTAATCAAACCTTTTAAGGAAAAGTCAAATTATACACACATTGCATATGTCTGGAGCAGCTTTAACTGTTACATGACAAGTGCATTCGTATGTAACACGAAGCTTTGGTAGAAGGGAGTCACCCTGACAACTTCATAGAGATAAGGATGAAAATTGCTCAAGTGGTCCATTAAGTATGTATGTATTAAGTAAGTAGTATACTGCATGACTGTTAGTTCATATCTACAGGCAGAAATGTCTCTCTATCAATAACATTACCAGTGTTAATTGTTGCAGACACTATTAGCTTACATAGCTCCTACCTTCTTAAGTTAAAAGCCTACAGCCTACATCTTTTATCACTATGCTTTTTCCACATTTTTTCTTTTGCGGTGTTTGTTTCTTAAGAAGCTAACAAGTGTAGCTGAATTTCTAGTTTATTGCATGTCACTAGTGCAGACTAAAAGCTAACGTAACGATAATTTAGCGCTAAATATCTATTATTCTGATATTATTCATACTGTTGTTAGGTCCATTTGTTTTAGTTTAGCTAATAATACGCCTAGGCTTGTGCGTTTTTAGTTAATTTTTTAACGAGTGCTTTGAGCAGTTAATGGTCGCAAACGTAGTACAATTAACGCTAATTGTGTTGTGTTGCTGGTGTTGGCCCAGCTGCTGCCAAAACATTACAGCACTAGTTAGGCTGAATGGTCTCCTAACTAACTTGAATAAAACGACAAGGAGCAAACAACACTCACCTTCCTCACGTCAAATCGACAACAACACATAGCCGAGCATCCGTAGTCTACGTTCAACAAATGGCTGAGAGGAATAACCGGCTGGCTGAGACAACCGAATCCAGAGTGTCCCATACACAACATCAATAAAATTCCAGCTAGGCCCTTTCGTCCAATAGCTCATCGAAATCTCGCGTTGCTGAGAAAACAGTTTGCGGTCTCATCACAACAAATCACAGCTCTCCTCCAGAAGATACATACAAGATAGATACTGCAGTACTATCTCTGCACTCAATGTCTACACTGCAGCAGTCGATACCTATTAGTATGATTTCTGGCTTTTACTTGTTTCAGTTCGCATATTACATGTATGCAGACAAAAAAAAAAACTACCACGCTTTAATCGGATGAGATTAATGTTAAAGTAAAACATTGATTTGATTGACAAATTTGTCATCAACTAAACACAACCTCGGGGTTACATGTCGTAACGAGACTCGTTCATAAGACAGAAATAATAAAAGACCACAACATACAAAATATAGAGCCTACCACCAAAAACGAGAAAGATTTCTCGTCGCAGAACAAAGACGGAAGTGAGCGACCGTTAAACCTCTTGCTTTGCATTCGTGTTCCCTGGTCAATCCTCCGACCTTCAATGAAGAAGTTCAGAATTGTTTAAAAGTAAGGAACATTTTAATATGTACAAAATACAGGTTTTTCATATAACAGTAGTTTTGTTTGGAAATAGTCTGCATTGTACACTGGCCCAACAACTGTTGTAAAAGTACAGTAAAAAACCTACAACCCCCCCTCTGAAAGGTAGTAGTTTAATAATATGAAAGTGCCATTACATCAAAATTGAAGCTTTTTTTAGATTCATTATGCTGTCAATTTTTTAAAATTTTGTTGTATTTTGTAAGGTGACTTGTAGCTACCCTGGTCCAACAAAAATTGCCATGCTCCATACTTTTGAAGATTTATTTTCTCTCTCTCTCTCTCTCTAGACAATAACATCGAAGACACCAGTGAAAACTACATAAATAAATGAATAAAAACATATGAGATCAAACATGTTGTTTCAAAGTCCCTAATGTGTCTGTTTAAGCAGGCTTAAACATGGTAAGCTAATGCCCATCAATAAACAGGCCCAAACACCATAGCAAAACAGAAATCAAATAAATAAATGTAGAAATGTATCACGTATTTATATCCATATTAAGCACACTAACAACAGTATACACACATATAACAAATACAATTACCATGTGCGTCTCTTGAACCATGTGTAGAATAACATCATTTTGTAGACACCTTTCCTCTGCATCCATAATATTTCTGACCTACTCCTCTGACCTATGGCTCTGACCCTTAGCTAAACTCTGGTCATGTGATTCGTTACTCTCCAAAATAAAACAAAGTCTTACACGAAGGGCATTCAATTTCTTAACCAAAGATTATTTTAAAACTGCTATATTTCAGACAAACCTTTTATCAATGTCATCCCTGTAACATCTTATTTGTTGCGTTTTTAATCCGTTTTAATGACTGTATGAACTCAAAAATGATCATGAATTTATTAGGAAACCAAAAAAAAAAAAAATTAAACATGAGACCTGTCTCTTAGACAGTTACAATGACTATTCTTTTAACAAGCAACATTCTCTTAAATACGCGATAATGTAGTAACATTTTAAATTGTTTAAGCTCACTGATATAAAAACACTCCAGTGCAGACGGCAGGGTGGCCCTCTGCTCTCCGTCTCTGTCCAACTTAGCAACACGTCCTGACTTCCTGTGAAGCTCCAGGCCACCCAGCGAAATGGCTGCGTTCCTGCGAGCTCGTAAATATGTTCGTTGTGTTGTCCGTTTCTCCGACCGTGAACTGTAAACGCTAGTGTTGACCGCTCGTGAAGATATAAAGAAAACCTGCCGGCCAAGCTGTCATGGTGGGTCACTGTGCTTTATACCTGTTAATCGTAGATGTTACGAGTTAGCCAGCTAGCTAGCTAACGTAGCTAACGTTACCTGCCTGTCTTTACCTGCACCTCACGGTGGTCGACGTGTCTCTTCAGGATTAACTCACAAATAGTTATCGAACCCTACAATTTCTGTGACATGAATTTAGCGACAAGTCCCTCAAATGAACGACATACTGGCATGAATTTGCAACAGATTCATTCTTAATTTAAGTTAACCTAGCGTTAAACTACACGGTCGTACACGTCTTCTGTGACCAGCAGCAACTTTGTATTTACATTGATCAAGTTTTCAGAGCTAATTTTTGATAAGCCGATCACAGTCAACAGTGGAAGTAGTCAGGTCCTTTAGTTCAGTAAAAGGTACGAATATAACACTAAAAATACTCCAAAAGTCCTGCATTTACTGCATATTACTCAAGTAAGGAAAATGTACTGAAAGTAAAATTACTCAATGCAGAAAAATGGCCCCTGTGATTGATATACAACTATATTTTAAGTTATGAATTATTATTAATGATGGATTAATGTGTAAACAGCATTCTATGTTCCAGCTGGTTGACGTGGATCGTATTTTATAACTAGTTTATATAAGGCTACCCTTAACGACTATTTCCATCATGGAATAATCTGCCGATTATTTTCTTGATTTTTCTTGAAAATAGTGAGAAGGGCACATTACTGTTACCTAGAGCTCAAAGTGATACCTTCAGATTTCTTGTTTTGTTAGCCTATATTTTATTGTAATTTTTTAAAATTATTACGAGGAAAACGCAATCAACTGATTGTTTCAGCTCTGCTTCTATATACATTTAGATAATTTATTCTTTAACAGCGCATTATATTTTATAAGATCCTCGTGTTTTGTATGTAAAATCTTAATCTCCATAATCTTTAAAGTAACTTGAAACTACACCTGTCAAATAAATGCAGTGTAGTGCAATGCAATGCAAATTTGTACTTAAGTACAGTACTTGGCTAACATTCTTTACATTCTGTACATTTGTTACATTCCCCAACTCATTGTAATGCAAGTACTCTCCTCTCCGCCTTATTTTCCACAACTAATACCTGTGTTTTTGACAGAAGTGATGGCAGTAAAGCAATAATGGAAAGATTCAGTGATTTCCTTGTATCATATGCACACCACCCGGTGTACACAGAACAATGTGTAATACAGATAATAAATAGAAAATGTGCATTAAAAAGGTTAAAAACAAAAAACTAAATTTGCAAAATAACCCAATACAACACAAAATATACTGCTTCACTGTTTTGTATAGGCTGAAGTAGAATCCAAAAGCTAAACCAATCCACAACCACAATGGTAACAGGTTTTGAGGACACACAGCTCCTGTGATGAATTGAAGTAATACTTCACTTCCTTCTTGTACAGGCTGAAGAAAATACAGATATTGGAGGTTCAATAGAGGATGAGGATGAAGGTTCAGATGACCCAAACCTTCAGGTGAGAAATGATTAATATTTTTAAGTCCAGGTTGTCTGTCTGTCCCTCTGTCCCTTTCTTGTGAACACAATATTCCAGTAATGCCTTGAGGGAATTTCTTCAAATTTGGCACAAACATTCATTTGGACACAACGATGAAATGATTAGATTTTGATGGCCAAAGCTCAAGGTCACAGTGACCTCACAAATCACATTTTTGGCCATATCTCAAATTCGTACGCTAATTATCACACAGTTAAACACAAATGCATAATTGGATAAAATGATGAAGTGATGACATTTTATATCCACATGGTCAAAGTTCAACTTCACTGTGACATCATAGTTTTCTGCAAAGACACTTCTGTCCATTGTTCAATGATGTAACTCAGGAAGGGGAGATTGTGAACATATTTCATGCAACTTGGCTGGTTGGCAGAGGCTTACAACCATGAGGCAGTATTTCTTCTTCTTTTCTAATATCTAAATTGTATTAATGGAAACTGCACTAATGTCTCAGCCAATCAGGATATGAGAGCAATATTTCTTTTCTCTGTTGTACTGTTTTATTATTTGATTCTAACTGTTGTTGTCATTTGTTTGTTGCTCTACTAAACTGTTAACAGGGTTTTGTGTTGAAAGAGCACACAATCTCACCCAACCTACCCTGTTACATTAATAATGGTTAAATGAATAATGTGCTCATGAAGACTTGGAATACATTTTTACATGGTTCTAATTTAGGAACAGTTCTTGATAAAACCCTGCTGTTATAGTAAACTGCAAACAATGAAGCTCAGGTCTATTTATCATTGTCTATTTCATTGAATTGCAGCTGGAGCTCAATGCATTCAGAGCCAAGTGGATGTCTGAACTGAAACCGAGCTGTGGAGCAAGTGGATTAAGTGACCGACTGCTGCGACCTAAAGGTCTGAAGAGGACACAAGACATTGCTCGGGAGGAGAAAGTAAGTTGTGAAATGATTTCTTCTGGTTCATTACTTCATGTATTGTAGAGTGTTGTTACTGAAATTGACAGAGCTATTCAATGACTGACATGAGTCATCTTCCCTCAGGCCACAGAGCTGTTCTTGAGAGCTGTGCAGGAAGAGCAGAATGGAGCTGTCTATGAGGGTGCGTTCACAAAATATACTCTATATCTAGTGATCAAAATCACCATTGAAAGGACAAAATGTTAGGTTAACCACAAAAACAGATTCTTTAGAAACTGACAGACATGCCATAGTTAATTGTGCTAAATACCACATTGTATCGGATGGTAAAATAATGCAGGCATTTACAACCATCAGTCATTGTCTTAGATGCAACTTAAATGATTTCAATAATTCAGAAGTTGTAGCCATTGACAGTAATAGAGCATGTTTGATATCCACCCATATAGTTTTCTAAATTCTGTATGAGAAACCAAAACGGAGGATTGCATTTCATTAGCACTTCAATTTAATTTCCCTTCTTTCTTTGCATAATTTGATGTCTGTACTTGCAGCCATCAAGTTCTATCGCATGGCTATGCAGCTTGTGCCTGACATTGAGTTTAAAATCAACTACAGTCGTCCTCCTGATGCAGACAGAGTTGGAGGAAACTAGTAAGCTGCTTTTAAGTTTTTGATATCTCTGTTGATTTACTAAATCTAAGTCAGTAGTGTTTCAGTGTGCAGTGAAAGGGCTGTGTTTTTTAAAATTATCATCTCTTTCATCTTTTTAAACACA